TAACCCCTTAAGGACTGGACTGTTTTTGCGATGTTGTACATTTGCGACCAGGCATATTTTTACACTTTTGTGGTGTTTGTGTTTGGCTGGAATTTTCCGCTCTCTCATTTACTGTTCCCACACAAATTATATTTGTTTTTTTCAGGACAAAAGGGGCTTTCTTTACATACCATTATTTATATAATCTCATGTATTTTAATTTAAAAAAATACAAAAATCTGATGAAAAATTGAAAAAAATACATGTTTTTTGACTTTTACTTGAAAAATCTTTTACTCATCTACAAAAGCGAATGAAAAAAACTGCTAAATAGATTCAAAATTTTGTCCTGAGTTTAAAAATACCCAGTGTTTACGTGCTTTTTTGTTTTTGCATGTTATAGGGCTATAGGTACAAGTAGGATATTGCGGTTTCAAAACATAAATTTTTAAATTTTATCAATAGTGACATTGTAACACTATTATCTGTCATAAATCTCTGAATAACACCCCACATGTACATATTTTTTTTAAAGTAGACAACCCAGGGTATTCAATATGGGGTATGTCCAGTCTTTTTTAGTAGCCACTTAGTCGAAAACACTGGCCAAAGTAAGCATTCATATTTGTTTGTGTGTGAAAAAAGTAAAAAAACTAAATTGAACGCTAATTTTGGCCAGTGTTTGTGACCAAGTGGTTACTAAAAAAGACTGGACATACCCCATTTGCAATACCTTGGGTTGTCTTCTTTTGCAAATGGTATGCCATCATCAGGGCCGGATTAACATAGGGGCTGATGGAGCTGCAGCTCCAGGCCCAGGCACATGGAATAGGCCCATTGATTTAAAAAAAAAAAAAAAAAAAATTTTTTTTTTTTTCACACACTACTCTTAGGGATTCCACCTGGCTTTTATTTTATTGGCACAGCCAGTATTTGAGGCTGCCTGGCTGGTGCCAATATTGCAGTGATACTGGCAATACAAATGCTGGTATTTTTCTCAGTATAAACAAGAGATTACTATGCAATACCAGCACTGGCCAGTAGGGGTCGCTGTGTGTGGAGACTGGCAGGGATAGGAACAGGGGTGCTGCTAAAGAGAGTCCAGACAGCAACTCCCACCATGCAGAGACAGCCTACAGCTCAGGGAAGTAAGGGATGGGGGAAAGACTGCAAGGAGACATACACTGAGACATTAAGGGACACTGGGAGACATTATGGCAGACACTGAGACACTTAGGGACATTGGGCGACATTATGACACAGACACATGGGGACACAGTGTCCCCATGTCTCCCAGCCAGTGTCCCTGGTGTCTCAGTGCCCCCTAGTCTCCCAGTGACCCCTAGTCTCCCAGTGCCCCCAGTCTGCCAGTGTCTCACTGTCCCCATGTCTCCTAGTGCCTCCATGTCTCTCAGTGCCTCAAGTGTCACAATGTCCCCATGTATCCAAGCTATTGTCTCTTTTGTCTGTGGCCCTGGTGTCTGTGTCCCCATGTCTCCCAGTCCCCCCATGTCCCCAAGTCAGTGTCTCTAGTGTCTGTGTCCCTGGTGTCTGTGTCCCCATGTCTTCAAGTGTCCCCTATTTTCCCATTGTCCCCATGTGTCCCAGCCAGAGTCCCCTAGTCTCCCAGTGTCACTGGTGTCTCCGTGTCCCTAGGTCTCCCCGTCTTCCTAGTGTCCTAGTGACATGGGGACCCTGAGATACATGGGGACACAGGGAGACATAGGATCACTGGGAGACCTGGGGACATGACACTAGGGGACACTGGGAGACATGAGGCACTGAGACACTGATACATAGGAACACTGAGACCTGGAGTAATCGACACATGGGGGCACTGAGTCATGAGGTCACTGGGAGACATGGGGGCACTGTAAGGAATCCATCTATACAGCAGAATCAAACTAAGTAGTTTTTTTTGGTAATTTTACAGCATTTTCTCTTATGTCACTCCTTGTGATTTACATCATGTGAAGTCACCCATACATATTTAATTATGCAAATTAGTAAGGTCGGCATGTTTTTCCAAGAAAGGTGGCAACCCTAACTACTTTTCACATACTCTTAATTAAGTATGGAAACTTAAGAGGGATGTATGGGAACAAAATTGTGTGGACTGGCTGATAATGAATATAGTTAAAGGGACACTATAGTCACCAGAACAACTACAGCTTATTGAATTTGTTCTGGTGAGTAGAATCATTAACATCAGACTTTTTGCTGTAAGCACGGTCTTTTCAGAGAAAATGCTGTGTTTACATTACATCCTAGTGATAACTTCACTGGCCACTCCTTAGATGGCTGTTAGAGATCCTTCCTGGGTCATGGCTGCCTAAAATGCATCCAAACATTCAGTGTCTCCTCCCTCTGCATGCAGACACTGAACTTTCCTCATAGAGATTCATTAATTCAATTCATCTCTATAAGGAGATGCTGATTAGCCAGGGCTGTGTTTGAATCATGCTGGCTCTGCCCTGATCTGCCTCTTTGTCAGTCTCAGCCAATCCTATGGGGAAGCACTGTGATTGGATCAGGCCACCACTTCTAATGATGTCAGCAGACTGCTTGTTTTTATGAGTCTAACAGCATGCAGAGTTACAGCTTCAGGCTTGAATATAGTAAGATTTTGTTATATTTATGGAGGCAAGAGGGGCTAGATGGTGGTGTTAGCACTATAGGGTCACGAATTCATGTTTGTGTTCCTGACCCTATAGTGATCCTTTAAGGTAATGATGACTTTGGTCTCTCTAACATTGTGGCATGTTCCCTTTCTTCTACACTCACTACATACAGCTTTTCTCTGTCCCAGACTATATACCAGGAGCTTCTGCCTGCTAGTAAGAAGGTAAGGAGACAAGTGGACCAGCGAGTGCTAGGGAACAGTCCTTAGAAAGCATTGAGTGAGCGCATCATTAGATGCATTTATGCCAAGCTCAGGGTGCTGTCTGCATAGTATGCCCTTAGTTGGCCAGCTGCATGATTGGCAGGCAGCCTGACATGCATTCATGCCTGGCTGGCCTTCTAATTCTTTGGGCAGACATGTCCTCTTTTTGGGCATTTTCGCCCCTTTTGGCAGGTTATGTGATTTGTGCCAATGGCACACCCTTTTACCTTCCTGCTTGACTGGACACTGCTGTTAGGGGTTATGGATTTACTTGAAAGATGAAAACATAAATTAGAGAGAGATTAGCCTAGGGTATGTGTTTTCTTATAGCTGCTGTTTTCTATCTCTCCAGCACCATCTTTATCAGATACATGACACTTGGGAGTGTTTTACTGTTTTTGGTCGATATGATTCTGTAATTAGGCCCGTCATAATTGTCAGCACCAGGCCCACTGGGCTCTTAATCTGGCCCTGGCCATCATGGGGGTAATTCTCATTCCTGGGCTACCATACGCTCTCAAAGGCAACGTAACCAACCTGGCCATTTTCAATGTAAAAATATTTGACCCATATATTTGACCTTGTAACTTTCAAAAATGCTATAAAACCTGTACATGGGGGGTACTGTTTTACTCGGGAGACATCGCTGAACACAAATATTAGTGTTTAAAAACTGGAAAACGTATCACAACAATTAGATCATCAGTAAAAGTGCTGTTTGTGTGTGAAAAATGCAAAAAAAGTAACTTTCACTGACAATATCATCACTGTGATATGTTTTACTGTTTTGAATCACTAATATTTGTGTTCAGCGAAGTCTCCCGAGTAAAACAGTACCCCCCATGTACAGGTTTTAGGGTGTCGTAGAACGTTACAGGGTAAAATACAGTGCTAGCAAATTAAATTCTCTGGAATTTCGGCCTGGGTTGGCAGGCAGGTCCCTCAAATTGCAATCAATAAAATGACTGAATTATGTAAAAATATTACATAAATATGCACAAAGAATTTAAATATATATGCATATTTATATATTTGAAGTCTACGTGTATATTTATATAATTATTTATGTAATTTTGTATATGGACGTATGTATATTTCTTATTATTTTTATTTATTTTTATATACATAGATATATACACAAATTCATTCTAAGTGTATTTTGATATAAATATATATATATATTAATTTTAAAATACAGTTAGAATAAAATTTCATATAGCTATATAATTTTTTTAAAATTTTTTATTATTATTTAAAAAAAAAATATTTAATTTAAATTACTTATTATTTATATTTTATAATAATATATATATACAGTATATATAGTTATTATATATATTATATATATACGTGTGTAATTTAATTATAAGTGTATTTTTATATTAATATAAGTACATATTAATATAAAAATACACTTAGTATGGCATTATATATATGATATATAGACATATATTATATAGATATAATATATGTCCATATATCATATTTATACACATATATAATTATTTTAATTTTTTTTATTAACACTAACTTTATTTTTTAAATTGATTTTACACTAGCAGGGAGACTCTCTGTCAGCCCAGGCAGTCCCCCTGCAGGCAGACACTAGTACACCTATTGTGACCATGTGATCGCTGTGTTAAGCGATCACATGGCCACAGGGGTCCTAATCTGCTGTGGGGAGACTGTCTGGGCTGCAGGCAGTCTCCCCACAACCGGAGCCACGCTGATCGCCGCCGGGGGAACGACGGCGATCAGGTAAGTAGCTCTGACCGTTTGGACGGTTCAGGACCGTCATCGGTCCTCAAGGCAAAAATGCCGATGACGGTCCTGAACCGTCCTCGGTCCTTAAGGGGTTAAATATTAATATAATATATGCTAAAAAGAACCTATAAAACTGTAAAATTACATATTATAAAAAATTAAAAAGATCAAATTCTATATTTAGTCCATATGGTTCCAATGTTTTTATCCTGTGTGTGAGGGTCATCATAGCCCTCACCCTCTGGAGGCTCGAAATAGGTACTGCTGGACTGTAATGCATACCACCTTAAGGCCCGGTAAGAATCATCCAGCCACATTTCTTTCTGAACCAGCTCCTTTAATTTTAACACTCATTCAGCCAGGAGCTGCTCTCCCAAGAATTGCAAATTAGCATGATCTCAAAATCATTGCATAATGGTTGGGAGGCTTTCTCCCTGGAGACCACAAACCACCTCAAGGGCATTGTTCTAGAGATCCTGACGGATCGTGTCCCACCAGTCCTGTTTGCACTCTGCCAAGAAAGGGCCATCATATTGGGACAGAGTTGCTTTTAGCCTCTGCTGGAACTCCTCCTCGGATGGACGCTGCACGGGTGCAAGCTCTATCCATCTTGGCAAATTCCAGAAGGCTGGAGCCGTAGCGGTGACCTTTCACGTGTCAGAGATCGGCTCTTGCATGGCTGGAGCCGTAGCGGTGACCTTTCACGTGTCGGAGATCGGCTCTTGCATGGCTGGATTCGTAGCGGTGACCTTTCACGTGTCCGAGATCGGCTCTTGCATGGCTGGATTCGTAGCGGTGACCTTTCGCGTGTCCGAGATCGGCTCTTGCATGGCTGGATTCGTAGCGGTGACCTTTCGCGTGTCAGAGATCGGCTCTTGCATGGCTGGATTCGTAGCGGTGACCTTTCGCGTGTCAGAGATCGGCTCTTGCATGGCTGGATTCGTAGCGGTGACCTTTCGCGTGTCAGAGATCGGCTCTTGCGTGGCTGGATTCGTACGGGTGACCTTTCACGTGTCAGAGATCGGCTCTTGCGTGGCTGGATTCGTAGCGGTGACCTTTCACGTGTCGGATATCGGCTCTTGCATGGCAGGATTCGTAGCGGTGACCTTTCACGTGTCGGATATCGGCTCTTGCATGGCTGGATTCGTAGCGGTGACCTTTCACGTGTCGGATATCGGCTCTTGCATGGCAGGATTCGTAGCGGTGACCTTTCACGTGTCGGATATCGGCTCTTGCATGGCTGGATTAGTACGGGTGACCTTTTACAAACTGAAAAAGCTTGTTGTATAAATTCCTGGAACCCGTTGCCTTGGCTGTACCCCAAGACTCCCTCAGTTCTGTTCAATCTTAATACGCAGGCTGGTACATGTCCCAGGGAGGGGTTGGGATGCACTCATTGTGCTTTTCAGAGGGTGTGGGACACTGTTCATGTGTGTCACACAGTCAGTGTGAGACCTGGGTGTGCACAGTAATGCAGTCACACTGGATTTTCTGAGGAGGGGACAGGAAGACAGGACTGAAAGAGAGGGGGCCCAGGCATTCACTAACTGGAGAACGCAGAGACACTCAGAACTGAGTGTGGGACCAGAGAGGTGCAGCAGAGTGTGTGGATAGCAGACTCATCTCCTGTCCTTGCTGTCTCTCAGGGCCTCTCATTACAAGACGTGCTGCTGTCTCTCAGGTCACTGAGGCTGTCCAATATGGGAGCAAACAACATAAAGAATGTATCTGATATTCATCCAGGTAACCACACAGGTCCTTATCACAACCTGTGTTTAATAGATAAGATAAAAATACTACTATATATATATATATAGTATACTGATCATCTCACACTCTCTGCTGTACCTTACATGGACACTGTCACAGATGTGTTTGTGAATGGGAGACAAAACTATAGTCTGCACTGTACCCCCTCCACCCCTTATAGTGGGCACTGTACCCCTCCACCCCTTATAGTGGGCACAGTACCCTCTCCACCCCTGATAGTGGGCACAGTACCCCTCCACCCCTGATAGTGGGCACTGTACCCCCTCCACCCCTTATAGCCTGCACTGTACCCTCTCCACCCCTTATAGTGGGCACTGTACCCCCTCCACCCCTTATAGCCTGCACTGTACCCCCTCCACCCCTTATAGTGGGCACTGTACCCCTCCACCCCTTATAGTGGGCACAGTACCCTCTCCACCCCTGATAGTGGGCACTGTACCCCCTCCACCCCTGATAGTGGGCACTGTACCCCCTCCACCCCTTATAGTGGGCACTGTACCCCTTCCACCCCTTATAGTCTGCACTGTACCCCCTCCACCCCTTATAGCCTGCACTGTACCCTCTACACCCCTTATAGTGGGCACTATACCCCTTCCACCCCTTATAGCCTGCACTGTACCTTCTCCACCCCTTATAGTGGGCACTGTACCCCTCCACCCTTTATAGTGGGCTCAGTACCCTCTCCACCCCTTATAGTGGGCACTGTACCCCCTCCATCCCTTATAGTGGGCACTGTACCCTCTCCACCCCTTATAGTCTGCACTGTATCCCTTCCACCCCTTATAGTCTGCACTGTACCCCCTCCACCCCTTATAGTCTGCACTGTACCCCTTCCACCCCTTATAGCCTGCACTGTACCCCTTCCACCCCTTATAGTCTGCACTGTACCCTCTCCACCCCTTATAGTCTGCACTGTACCCCCTCCACCCCTTATAGTCTGCACTGTACCCCTTCCACCCCTTATAGTCTGCACTGTACCCCCTCCACCCCTTATAGCCTGCACTGTACCCTCTCCACCCCTTATAGTGGGCACTATACCCCTTCCACCCCTTATAGCCTGCACTGTACCTTCTCCACCCCTTATTGTGGGCACTGTACCCCTCCACCCCTTATAGTGGGCACAGTACCCTCTCCACCCCTTATAGTGGCACTGTACCTCTCCACCCCTTATAAAGTGGGCACTGTACCCCTCCACCCCCATAGTCTGCACTGTACCCTCTTTCCACCCTATAGTCTGCACTGTAAATTCCTCCACTTTATAGTGGGCACTGTACCCTCCACCCCTAGTCTGCACTGTACCCCTCCACCCTATAGTGGGCACTGTACCCTCCAGCCCCTATAGTGGCACAGTACCCTCTCCACCCCTTTATAGTGGGCACTGTACCCCCTCCACCCCTTATAGTGGGCACTGTACCCCCTCCACCCCTTATAGTTGGCACAGTACCCCATCCACCCCTTATAGTGGGCACAGTACCATCTCCACCCCTTTTAGTGGGCACTGTACCCCCTCACCCCTTATAGTGGGCACAGTACCCTCTCCACCCCTTATAGTGGGCACTGTACCCCCTCCACCCTTTATAGCAGGCACTGTACCCCCTCCACCCCTTATAGCCTGCACTGTACCCTTTGCACCCCTTATAGTGGGCACTGTACCCCCTCCACCCCTTATAGTGGGCACAGTACCCTCTCCACCCCTTATAGTGGGAACTGTACCCCCTCCACCCCTTTTAGTGGGCACTGTACCCCCTCCACCTCTTATAGTCTGCACGGTACCCTTTCCACCCCTTATAGTCTGCACTGTACCCCCTCCACCTCTTATAGTCTGCACTGTACCCCTTCCACCCCTTGTAGTCTGCACTGCACCCCTTCCACCTCTTATAGTCTGCACTGCACCCCTTTCTCCTCTTATAGTGTGCACTGCTGTACCCCCTCCACCCCTTATAGTCTGCACTATACCCCCCTCCACCCCGTACAGTGTGCACTGTACCCCTCCACCCCTTATAGTGTGCACTGCACCCCATCCACCCCTTATAGTCTTCACTGTACCCCTTCCACCCCTTATAGTCTGCACTGTACCCCCTCCACCCCTTATAGTGGTCACTGTACCCCCTCCACCCCTTATAGTCTGCACTGTACCCCCTCCACCCCTTATAGTCTGCACTGTACCCTTTCCACCCCTTATAGTCTGCACTTTACCCCCTCCACCCCTTATATAGTCTGCACTGTACCCCCCCCCATAGTGTGCACTGTACCCCCTCCACCCCTTATAGTTTGCACTGTACCCCTCCACCCCCTATAGTCTGCACTGCACCCCTTCCACCCCTTATAGTCTTCACTGCACCCCCTCCACCCCATATAGTGTGCACTCTAACCCCCCCACCTATATAGTGTGCATTGTAACCCCCCACCCCTTATAGTGGCAACTGTACTCCCACCACCCATTATAGTGGGCACTATACTCCCACCACCCCTTATAGTGAGCACTGTGCCCATTCCACCTCTTATAGCTCCCATCTCCTCACCCGTACACCCTTACTGTTTTTAATCCGTTATTGCCCTTTATGTACTTTATGGTCTGGCCTGTACCTTCTCCCCATGTGAACTGTTAATGTTATTCTAGAAAGTTAGATTCTGAGCGTGGGAATCTACTTTGACGTTACAATACTCCCACTTGTCAAATACGCTCTTATTTATTAATCCTGTATTGTTTATCTCATGCAGAATCACATAAGGACCCATCGTCCTCTGCCATGTACAAGCCACATCTTTCTCCTACATCTTCCCCTACAAGGGACACTTTTCACACTCCTCTAGGAAGTCCAGAGCAAACTATTTCTGTTGACACTGGCCCTGCCCCCGAGGATCGATGTCCCGCCTCCAAGTGTCCTGTGTCTCTGTATGAGCAGAATAAAGGAGAGGAGACCTGGGGAGCCCCTTTTAGTCGAGCTATGGAAAGGATACAACGAGTTTCAGAGGCATTAGGACAAATGCACACCCAGCTTGGAGCTCTTTTAAGTCCAAGGGCGATTACAGAGGGGCCGCGTATAATGGACTCTGCCATCGGCTGGGAGGCCCGCTTGGGAGAAGTGCGAAAAGACTTGAGCACTGGATTGAAAGAAATGGGGCTTCTCAAGCAAAAATATGAGGCGCTATCTGCAGGTTCGCTCTATCTGTTTTGGTTTTTTTTAATGGCCACAGTATAAGCACAGTTTGGAAAATTATCCAGAAACAAACAACCTCAACTAAAATAAATAGAGAGAGATTAGTGGAAGCTGCTGCCTGGTGGATTCCTTGTGATTTGCATATATTTATATATAGGTTATTATTGGCGTTTACAATATTACACTATATTATTTCCTTTTCACTTACATATATTTATATATAGGTTATTATTGGCGTTTACAATATTACACTATATTATTTCCTTTTTAAGAACTTTGAAGTTATCTTTGCACTTTTGTATTAAATGTGTTTACATTTGTGTATTATATATTTGTATGCACTTTATAAGGTAGTATGTGTACACTAATGTTTTGCACTTTTGTTTGATGCACTTTATTGTAACAATATTGCACAGTGTTTTTTGCACTACCCTCTTTTCACCTTAAAGGCATAGTGCACTTTATATGGGAGTGGGAATTATCATGAAATCTATTTAAGGTTTCATCGCACCTTCATTTTGTTTTATGTTATTGTAATGTATTTCATGAGCTATTGCACTTTGATAGATGCTGCTATATTACTTATAGGTTGGGTCCCTGTAGGATCCCATGCGGCCGGGCAGGGTGATTCCCTGTAGGATCCCATGCGGCCAGGCAGGGTGATTCACTGTAGGATCCCATGCGGCCGGGCAGGGTGATTCACTGTAGGATCCCATGCGGCCGGGCAGGGTGGGCCCCTGTAGGATCCCATGCGGCCGGGCAGGGTGGGCCCCTGTAGGATCTCATGCGACCGGGCAGAGTGGGCCCCTATAGGATCCCATGCGTCCATGCAGGGTGGGCTGAGCACGGTGGGCCCCTGTAGGATCTCATGCGGCCGGGCAGGGTGGGCCCCTGTAGGATCCCATTGGGTCGGACACGTATCCTCTAGAACTAACAGTTATTTCTCGGCCTTTCAGGTGAAACAATGAGAACAGAGCCAGAGAGCGGACATGTGAGATACATTCAGGTGAGACTGAAAGACAGAGACAGACTGCTTGACAAATGAGACCGCCAATGGAGGGTTAGACTTGTGAGATGTGTGAGATCTCAAAGTCTGTTAGTACATCCTGGGGGAGATATACCATCCCAATATCTGTAAGTA